CTGGCAAGACCACTAGAGCACAAAGCAGAACAAGAGGTCTGTGTGGGATTTTGATCTTACCTGCACTTGTCTCTCCCACCACTTTGAAATCTCCCAGTGCTCATTTTCTCTCCTATAGGCACACACAAACACATGTACGCTTAACAAAGTGTAAAGAGGAAGAGGAAACACACATACCAAACAACGCTTGCCTTCATTACAGACAGTTTACCGGGAGCACAGACAAGTGCCCAATAAAGCAGACCTGACAGGGATGCCTGAAAGTCATTTCTGAAATGGCTTTGTAATCATGTCTAATCACGGTCAGATTCATCCATGTTAAAGTGACAGTGCCCCGAAGGTCACATGTAAAAACAGAAACACTTTATTTTTGTAAAACGGGATCACAAGATTATGATGTATAAAAATGAAGAAATGTACTGCAGGAATATTTAAGATTTGTTTTTGTCATTCGGTTGCCCCGGCCTTTCTGTGTGGAGTTTGCATGTTCTCCCCGTGTCTGCGTAGGTTCTCTCCAGGTGCTCCAGCTTCCTCCCATGGTCCCACTTGAGGCCTAGGTAGATTGGTGACCCTAAATTGTCCTTAGGTGTGAGTGGTTGTTTGTCTGGCTCCAGCCCCCTGTACGCAGGATGAGCAATTGATGATGGATGGATGGTGGCAGCAGCATAACTTGCTAGCAAATTATTTGGCTGCAATTTACACATGCAGCTGACACAGAGCTGCATTAGCATTTATTTGGAGTTGTGATTCTGGCCACCTGACACATGTTATTCAGATATTCACTCATCTTTTAGCTCTGTTTTGGTGGCTTTTTAGTTCCTAATTGCTGTTCACCAGCAAGCTAGTCGCTAACTTTGTTTGTCTGTAACGTGTAACGTGACAGTTGTCTTTTAGAGATTGTTTGCTGAAACCAGCTGCTTGATGAGGCTGGAAACAAGGTTGATGAGAGCAACAGTAATAGATACCAAAGTAAAATCTAAATAATTAGCTGAAACATGCTAAAACGCTCAGAAGAGATGAGGGAAACCGCAATCAGGTGATACTTATCGAATTAGTTCGAATTTACAACTTACATGGCTCTTCTCACTTTACATGTAGACATAGTCATCTGATCCATTGCTAATATAAAACAATTGATTAGTGTAGCTTTAACCATAACTGCTTTCTGCCCAAACTTTCCCGCACTTTCTAAAATATCTTAAAGGCTCAGTGTGTAAGTTTTAGCAGCATCTCATGGTGAGGGTTGCGTATTGCAACCAGTGGCTCACAGTGCATTCAAATGCTGTGAAGTTCTTCCGACTTCAGCGTGTGTTCATGTGCTCTTTAGTCAGAATTTGGACTCAACTTGGACGCTACTACAAAGATTTGTTGGATTAGCATTATCAGAGCATATAAACAACACACAGACATCTACTTCACTCTGCGTGGACAGCAAACTAACCATTATAACCATATTACAAATTACAAGTTTGCAATATATGTACATGTAATACGTGATTTTGCATGAATCAAAGTTCTGTATACCTCTTTATATCCCATGTACACTTTATTTCTCTTTTTGCAATAAATATTTAAGAAGGAAAAAAAGATTATTTTTATTCTGACACCACATGAATACACCATCAGTCACCGCTCAGCCCTCCCTTTCCAAGCGTGCTGGAGAAGCTACGCTGGCCGACACACTCTGTCAGCTCTTGTGCTAAATAATACGTGTGGGCCTCCATTTGTCCAAATTTTTCTTCTAATAAACCAGTCGACTACTACTACTACTACTAACATAACTTGTTCTTTGTACGTACGTATTCAACGTAGAGACAAAACATGCTCTGTAGAGCTGTTTTTCCATTTAGGCTACTGTAGATGGCGGCAGAACATGACAAAGTCCATGTAAGGGTGTATGTAGATAGAAATGGCTCATTCTAAGGTAATGAAAACATAATGGTACATTATGTAGGGTCTTTATTCAGCACTGAAAACATAGTTCTGGATATTATATTGCATTTATGTTAATAGATTCTACTAAATATCACACATTCAACCTTTAATAGGCTTCTGAAAGTTTTAACCCTAGAATTAATGATTTACTTCGTTGGGACCACATTATGGAAACAAAATGCAGCTGTGTGAATAGGTCTTTGTCCACACAATGTTATTTAAACACACACTCAGACACACACACAAACACACAGCTTAACACAGTGGGGGACTGGATTTATTGTAGTAATACCACACAGGCATCAGAGAGAGGAAGGATTACAGAGGAATATTGAATGAAACAGAACTGACAACTCTTAAAGTGTCCTTACTAGATTTTTCCTAAAACCAATTTCGCAAACTAGTGTTTTAATTCAAGGGTCCAGCCAATGCGATCATATTTAACTGAATGTGTTATACTTGTTGACCTGATTGGACAGAAACAAGGAAACAAATTTGCCTCCTCCACAGTGTCCTTTACCATTTTTAGTAAAAAAAAAGGCAGACTACCCCTTTTATTTAAATCTCTTCATATGCAGCAAGGCATAATGTATGTTGTGTCATTTTGTGTGAGACAGTTTAGTCTTTTTTTGAACAAGAACATTATTCTCTCAAATTCAGAAAGGAGCTTGAATCAAAATTTATACTCTAATTACCACAGTCTGCCTCTCTTGAATGATTGTTTCTTCCATTTTAATGACCTGCCAGAAACAAAAACACCATCATTCATTCAGTACAGTACCTTTCTTTGTGTGTCTTTCTTGTGGTGTCCGGAAAAAAACACAGACCCCCTGTTCACAGATGATGAAGGTCTCCAAAGGGGAGTTGAGAGACTGGATCTGATTTCCTATGGTGAGTCCCGTTGTTTGACTGTTTGTTCTCTTTTTGGTTGCCTCACTTTTTTCGCAGCTGTTCCCCTTCTGGGTGCAAGGTCCCACACTCACCCTGTTCTGGACTTAAAGCGTAACATCGGATCAAGCTATTATCCCAGGTTAGTTAACAACCCGGCGAGAAAGTATTATCTTATTCATGAATGGACATGTCTGTTTGTTGAATGTCACCATGACGCATGGTATTTGTTGCACTAAAGCTCTCTTTGTATGTTCATAAACAATCTGTCATATTCACAGTATGGAATGTGTAGGGTGCTCTGCTCTACTGTGTGCTATTTCAATTAAAGTACATTTAAACCTGCATTTTCTCAGGGAAAGACAAGGGCAATGTCTCTGGGCAGTGCCATGTTGGGGAATAATATAAATCTTTTCACATGATAAGCTCTTATAGTAATGATTAAGTGACCACCTGTAAGCGTGTGATTTGCGGTCTGGATTTAAAATAAAGGTTAGCTTAGAATATTTTTCAAAAACTTATGAGCACATTGGTAATTATTTAGTTCATGTGAGAATCCATAGCTCATTTGTAAAGATCACAAGATGTATGAAGTTATCTCAGGCCTTCACCCTTTCCTCCTGTTCAATGTTCTGTTGTTCACCTAATTTATAAAAGGAATTAGACATAGACATGAGAGTGGTATCAATCCTCTGATCTAACTCAAGAAGGACCTTGCAAGAAAGCAAAAATGGGTATGTCCAAAAATGTTGTACTACCTATAAATCTTTCTTAAAGAGAAGTACACCATCACCAAGTTCCTTTCTCTAATGATCAACACTGACAAGAATTCATATTAAAAAGTCACCACTCAGTATTAGTTTGCTGTCTCTTACCATGTATTTCATTGAAATTTTCAATACTTTTCATAAAGTAGACAGTCAGAAAAAATAAGGTGTATGTGAAAAAGTGCGTCTTAAAACCATAGACTGTATATAAAAAAAAACAGGATTAAACCAGGATTAAGGATTAAGGCTTAAAACAAGGATTTCGACAGATATTTTTGAAAGAAATCAAAAATGTTTTTGTTCATAAGCTAAATAACCTTCATAAAGGTTTGTAGTTCAAAGGATGGCCTCTCAGACATCCACACACTGTGTAGTCTGATCAGTATCTCACAAAATGTTCAGCAGCTCTCTGTACTGTAGGTACAATAAAACTCTCCTTTAAACGTCCATTTGATTAATTCAATTATTTTTAGCCATTTGAAAAGCTCTCCAGTATAGCTTATTCATACAAAACCAAAGCAGGGAAGGGGAAATAGTAACGTTATAGCATGTGCAGTTTGCTTTCTTGACATAATGTGAGTTTATCGTTTTATTTATTTCACTACAAAAGCTAAAAGAGCTTTTGTAACGCATCAAACTCACCGCTGACTTAAAAGTATGGGAGATGCTGATTCAGCATCTCCTCTACTGACAAACTTAAGCATAGTACCTGTAAATAATAGATAACAATACTATTGTTTATTTTATCATCTGCATCATGCTTTAAATGTGTGAGGCCACCCTTTTTGTTTCAAGCCTCGAGCCAGGTGGTAGTACATTTTCTTATACCATGCCAGTATTTTGTGATTAATTGTGATACTTTTTGATGTATTTGTGCCCATCTCTGCAGACATGACAGTATCTCAGATGCTAAATCTGTAAACTAAAGCCAGCTGTTTAACATATTGCCAGAAGTGTGAAACGTTACTTCTTCCAACAATCTTAAATCCACCATTAAATTGCTTTATTATTGACCATAGTGATATGTGGATTATGAACAAATTGTCAAATGTTTCTAAACTTCTAAAAGCTTTTCAGGAAATGGGATGATGATTGTTTCCCATGACTGTAGGAAACTTACCACATGACTTTTGTTATGAGTCTAATGCATCTACAGCTGCCTTGAAGATGCCACTATCAATGATCCTGTAATAAAACCTGTATCATTTCTCTTCTTGCCTGCAGTTACATTCCACCATTAGTGAATACAGTGAATATAAATATATATTTCTTATATATAAAATATAGAAAGAATTAGGCCTTCTATACAAATAAACGCCACAATGGTAACTGAGGAGATCATTGCCCTTGTGTTACCGTACATACATTACAGTAAAAAGACAACAAAAAACATTCACATCAAAAGGTAAATACAGTTGCTTTGCTTCTTTTTATTCGTTTCTTTACGTCTCCAATGTACAGTAGTGTTATTGGAAGATAAGATGACAAAAAGGCACAAATTCACAATAAAAGAAAGAAAAACAGGGGACAAGTTAACGGGAGTGAGAGGGAGAGTAAGAGAAAGAGAGAGAAAGGGAGAGATTTAGCGATTTTAAAAACAGTTTGGGATTGTGGAATCATTTGGTTTCATATTCTGATTATCGAGGAATCTAACAACAGGTATCTATGAGATTATCTCTGTTAAACCATGATCTCTCACAAGTTTGTATGGTATCTTCAGGCTCTTAAAATGCACCAACTGTCTGTTTTCAAACCAATTGTTTTTTTTCATCCTGTGAAGCTATAAACTTCAACCCTCCAGCACCCGGTTGAAGCTGCTCCTAAATGTAGAATAGTTTCCCCTTGATCCCCGTCAGTAACCACAGGAGGGCAATATCTAACTTGCACGGAGGCTCCACTTAGGGCTGACACCATCAGCTAATTATGTGGATCAACGAACTGACCCGAGCTGCCGTTATATGTTCCTTTTCAGTGAGAGACGCAAGTGTAGTTCAGAGACTGACAACAGAGGTACAACAACACTGAGAACAAAAATATATATCTATACACTGTCCTGCCAATGAAAGGTGAGGGAAGAACGTGACGAGGAAAGGATATAGTGAAAGGGGTTTTTGCTTCGCTTTTAATATTTTTAACCTCAAACTACAAACCACACAGCAACTCAGTTTTTAACTGCTTTGCTGGAGCATCCTCAAATATGCAGCAAAATAATCTATAACAATATGTTAGAATGCCTTTTTTAATGTCTACAACTGACAATATTCTTTAAAAATGTCTTATCAGCAATACATTTCAGCAACTATAGCTCTATATGTCCTAACATTTCCCGGTCTGTGTGATGCTGAGCATTTAGAGATGGAATAAGGGGATCAATTGTCAAGACGGTGTGCAGTAGGTTTTGGCAGGACAGTCTGGTCTATATATATGTGTTCATCTACATTTATTTATTTACTATTTACAAAGTCAATACATACAGTACATCCACAAATCTCCATGATTCAGTCGGTAGTCCCATCACAGACAGTGAGTGAGATGCTTGGTGGACACAGAGAGAGGTGGAAGGGTTAGACATCCAGGGCCAGTGTTGTCTTTAAAGAGGAGGCAACAGAAAAGGGCTCGCAGGGATGGGGTTTATAAACCTCTGACATACAGATATATAAGGACATGAACTACTGCCACAAGATGGAAGATTCTTAAAGTTATAAATTGAGTTTCTCCAAAGCAAGTCTAAACTACGCTTGAACAGTTGTCAATAATTCCCTGAGGAGTTGTTAATGGACTTTTTCAAGCCGTATCTTATGGCCAGGTAAAGCAGGTAAAGACATTTGAATTTGGATTTAGTGACTACTGTGCTTGGGCTTATATAGATTACATAAATGTATAGACTAATGACACTATTCCAGTATTATCCTGATTCATGAAGTATCCTACAACTGCCAGGAATCTTCTTAGTTTGACTACAATAATTTGCTTGGCTCTTTCATATAAAATTAGAGTGCATTTATCTGATTATACACTTCTTCTGGATTCTTCTCCAGACTGACCAAACTTTTCAAAAAATAAGCTGTCCTTAGGTCAGACCAATAAATACAGCAATAAACAACTACATAAAATGATGTAAATATTAAGCCAATGTATACTTTCTAAAATTAAAAACTGGCCTTGAGACAGTTAATTATAACAATTGCTTTGTAATGATTTACATTGTGTACATAAACTGTTGTATTTTTAAAAATAAAAATAGTTGATCCAATTTTATATTCATTAATATTAACTCATTAGAGTCCAAAATGTACACCTACAATGCAGAACTCTAGATATGGACCTCAAACTAATCAAACCTCTGTACTTGTGCTTAGACAAAAAGAACAATTATAATTATCCACTTGTTCTGTTGATCCAAATGTATTAATCACAGGCGGGTGACCTAAATCAGTTATATAGTGGTGTTATAGTATTGCCTTTCACATTATCTATCTGTTGCTTGCTCTTTAAAGTTTCCACACAGTTGAAAGATGTGGAGGTAAAGCGAACAGATGATGGAAAAGAGGATAATAAAAGTAACTAAGGACAAAAGAGGCCAAAGAGACGTCAATAAGAATTGCTGTTATCACTCCTCGAACTCTATTACTTCCTCCCTTCTTTGCCAAGCCAGCATCAGATCTCTTCAAAGACACGCTACTGTACATCACTCATGTACACTCATGCATATACCGAAAAACCACACAATTACAAACAACAGGCTTCAGATTCCAGCAGGAGAAAACCCGGCTAATCCAAAGACAAACACAATAAAACCAGCGTTTCATAAATAATTAATCAACAACTTAACATCCTTGACTTTCAGCTTGGGCTCTGCTTTGCTAAAACTGTTCCCAGAACAGGAACAAACAGTGGAGTAAGGTAGGTTAGCGATGATAAGAAGAGAGACCAACGTGGCATGGTAGTTATTGCTATCGCTGGATAAGACCATTTATCCACTGGAGGTGACAGAATGGGTGACAGGGCAAAAATTGATGCAGATCACATAAAGTTTTACTTTCAAAGAAACATTTATCTATCTACAAGCGGGAGAAGCTGTATATCCATGATGGCTGGTAATGGTCACCACCATGATAATGAGTTTTGCAGTTAAAAGGATGAGAATGAAGTCTGTAGACAGAAAGACTGTCAGACAAAAAGAAAAAAGAGAGACAGACTTGTTTATGGCTGGTCTTCTGTGTATTTCCCTTTGCAGAGTGATACATTTTACTTGTAAGTGTGTGGGTATGTGTGTGTATGTACGTACTGTATGTTTTAATTCTGAAGTGATCTTCAATTACTGCACTTTCAGCCCGATGAAACTGAAGAGCTAGAAATTATCTGGTGAAAGAAAAATGGCAGGAAACCTTGACGACCTTACATCGCTACAGAAACACACACATGCACGCACACATACACACCGATACACACACAGAAAGAAGCGCACATACAAACTCACGGAGCAGCAGAAAAGCCAATGAATGTGCCAACATACTAAGGGAGGTACTGGAAACAAATCCTATCTGTTAGGTCAGGAGCATAGCAGAGACAACCCTCTCAACACTCTCAGCACAATCCTGACCTTGCAGCTGCACTTTGTAGACCTGCAAATTGATTTGAAGAACAAAAGCATAAAGCATGACACAAATAGAGAGAAGGAGATACTATGACAAATCAAAAAATAAATCAAAATAAATCACAGGATCAAAACTTAACACTGAGCAGATACAGCTTGGTCTGGAAAAAAATAAAGATCCACAGAGAAACTTACAGACAAAATCATTTTAAAAACCCTGTTTATATATATATATATATATATATATATATATATATATATATATATATATATATATATATATATATATATATATATGTACATATTTCAATACAATTATTCAGCTCCGATATACGGTACACTGTATATATACACTATTGGGATCTTAAATAGAAATAAATCCTAGTTTGCAGAGATAAATGACACTATTCTCTGTAGTTTAGAGAGGTTTAGAGACTGAGAGAGAGAAAGAAAGGACTGACTGACAAGATCTATACTGTTGCTACTAGAGGCCTCAGAGTTGTTAATAAGACAGGGGCACTAGATGGAAAAACAAATAGAAATGGATGAGACTCAAGGGAGGTGGGATGTGGTGGAGGAGATCAGCTGGAAATTGGGAGTTTACTGGGTCCAGGTCCCTGAAAACCAGACTGTACTCGGGGGGTGGGGGTTGGAAGGGGTTGGACCAGCCGGTCAGATGTCAGTTTGAATAGAAGGAGGATGTGAATCCGCTGGTGTCTGGGTATTCTGGTCTGAAAGAGACAGACAAATGTAAGAGTATAAACAAGAGGCGCAATCTGATGTTTTGGCATTTGGTTCACTATTTTTTACTTACTATCAATATTTTTGGCATGCTTCACTAAAATCAAATCAGATTTAGAGCCTGTCCCACACTGAACTTTTGAGGCGGATGCTGATCTTTAGGAGTATTTAAAATCACATTTTAACTTTCATGTTCTATCAGCTTTTAAAGCTGCTCTGATTAATATTTTCACATTAAGAATAGATCAAATGTCTACTTGTAATGCGAATAGGGGTCCCTCGTGGTGACAAACCCACAGATAATTATTGCCCCACTCATATCCCCCCCACACTGCAGATCCCTTCAGGAAAGCTACGGAGCTTGGCTTTGGCATCTTTCAGTTCGTTGTTTTGGTTTTTAGGCCCGCAACTTTAATGTTGTGATTCACTCTCACCGTTCTCATTGGCTTTGTTTCCAGCAGCAGTAGCGGACAGCTCAAACAAGAAGCTCTGATAAACCCTAACCTGTCCCCACGCCAAAATGGCTGACAGAAAAAGCTAGTGATTAGCGAATGAACATAGTGGAGAATTTGGCAGCTAAAGACAAACTATGTTATGGCTACATCGTTTCTAAATCAGCATAGGCATGTTTGTGCCATTTTAATAATTAAACTAAGTGAAATAAAATGCCAACATTCTCTGGTTCTTCTTCTTCCAGCTTCTCAAATGTGAAGATTTCCTGCTTTTCCGTGTTTTATATGTTTTCAGACAGCTGCTTGAAATAAACTAACACTTAATGACTCTGGGCACCTGCCATGAGCAATTTTTCACTTTTGTTTAAATTTTGTAAAAAAAAAATCCAATCAGTATTCATTTAAAGGAATGGGTCAGACAAATACAAAGGTACAAAGAAGTGTCACACAAAACATTTCAGTTTTAGTCCTCTAACCTGATGAGCAGCAGCATTCACGGTCCAACACAACCTCAGTCCTCTAGAGCCACCATCCCTTTCACTGGGTCCTTCACTCTCATCTGACACAAACAAGAAAGACAAATCTTATACTGAATGATCATTCAAATTCTTATCCAAACATAAGAGTGCACATGTCCACAGGATATTGACTTACTTGGTTTTACTAATTTATTTACTAGTTTGGGAATAAAATACTTCAAAAGAAGTCAGATCTTCAGGAATCTGTCTGGCTCCACAGTTGTTTTGCTTACCTCATCTAGCTCCCTGCGTGTCTCCTCCTCCATACGACGAATGTCTTCCATGTTCAAGTCAATCCACTTGTCGATCCAGCAGAACAGCTGACGGTGGAAATTAGTGAACAAACGCTTCTCTTGCTGTGAAACAACAAAGCAGGATAAAGAGAGAAAGTCATATTGAAGTTTGAAGAAAGGAAGCTGATTTTATTGAGTGCAAATGCCAAAATAAAGCCTTTTGATGATCACAGATGTTTCATTCTATCCTGCATTACCCTGTTTATCCACTAGAGGAATTATACCTGTTACCCTGTTAATCTACTAGAGGCTGGTGCAGCCTATATGTACAGCTGTATAGTGAGTAGTACTTTTCCACCGTTATCTCATGCTAACAAGATGTCAGACACTGTATACACTGTATATATGCATGAGACTAGACACCAGTCCTTAACATTCACACACACAACTGAAGGAGGGGACAGTCCTCCTGCACAACCAACATCATGTTAAACAGTTTGTTGTCAAAAATCCCTCCTCAGTAACTAGCCTTGAAATGTGGCTACCTGAATGTCATAGTGATCGTAAAGTGACAAACTTGCATATACACCACACACCTTTTGAATGAAGTTCTCCACTTTATTTTGCAGGCCCCACCACTTGAATTTGACAGTGACCAGTTTGTAGGCACACATGTGTGGGCAGTCTTTTTTGTTAGGAAGTTCCTTCTGCAAGTGCACAAATATACACACACATTTTTTATCATTTACATTCAGGGCCGTAGCCACGATTTTAAAAATACTGAGGTCTAGAGTCCCCCTGCCCCCAAACAACAACAAAAGGTTTCTAAAACTTTTGAATTATTGTTGTTGTCCTTAAGTGTATTTCCCCCACATGACAGCTTTAATGGTCTTCTCCACACTACCAGCAAATACATTTACAAAGAAATACTGAAATCTTTTCTATTTCGCTCTATTTATTTATCTACTTATTTATTTGTTTGTTGGCCTAAAATTTAAATATAGTGACTAATTGTTAAGTGGTTGTAGTTTTCTTTGAGGATCTGTTACTTAGGATGTCACTAAAACCCACAAATTCCCAGAAAAACATGACCTCAGGGTCCTCAAAAGTAGGTTCTGGTTACAATATGATGAAATGTTTGTCCTGTACTAAGTATTTCAACACTGTTGCTAAACAGTAGCTAAAGTATCAAGTGCAAGTAATGTTTTTGATTTTGCACATCAGTGATTAACCGTGGTCTGGTTGGTCTTTGTTTATCATGTATTTTAGTGGCTTCAGATGTGTTTCATCCAAGTGAGACATTTACAACAAGACGCTGTACCTTCCAGTCTGGTCCTAGAGGGCCTCGTCCTGTTTTCACTGACTTGTACCTGCAAGGATCCTCCTCTGGCTTGTAGTCCTGGAGAGAGATAAGAAAAACCCGAATGAACATGGCGAGGTGAGGTGACAAAAGAAGTAAGAGATCTAGTTGCTGTGATCAATCAACTCATTATGGCTCTTCACCTTCGGCTCCACTTGGCTTCTGTCCGCAATATCAATATAGACTACATCCACCTTCTTCCAGGTTTCTGCATCCAAACCGTGTACCTAAAACAGAACCACAGAGAACAGCTAGATTCAGGCACAAGTCTCTGCAGGTGGCCCACATACAACAGAGACCAGAACACAAGGCTCAGGGTAAAAAATGTGTGAAAAGTTAAAAAATTAAACATGGGCGATACATTACTCTGGCACTTTTTGCAGTTTTGCATGCTCACAGTTTATTTCTTTGCCACATGCATTGTTTAAAGCCCAAAAGCAACAATGATGCTCATAAAAAAGTCCTCATGCTGCTCAAACACATACATACACTTGCTCAGCTCATTAGTCTGTATTAATTACATTTTCGAGGTGTCCCGTGTCAGGTTTGTGCCATGTCTCAATCTTGATCAGGAAGTTATCTTTCATATACTCGTTCTGCAGAGAAAAGACAAATAACTCTCAGTGAAGAGGGAACAGTGGGTCTACAGCGTAATATGTAAGCAAATGGAAAACCATACAATACAATTTATTCTCTCTCCTCCCTCTCTCTCTCTCTCTCTCTCTCTCAATTCAATTCAATTCAAATTAGCTTTATTGGCATGATTGTGTAACAACAACATTGCCAAAGCATCATACATACAACATCTCTCTCTCTCTCTCTCTCTCTCTCACACACACACACACACACACACACACACACACACACACACACATTCACACACACAAACATTTAGCGTAATGGTGTCTGACTATTCCCCCTGCTGCTGTGTCACTGAAATAGATCACATTTCTTTCTCAGCTTTCAGGTTAATTTGTTCCCTCCATGGGCTTCAATGTGTCCATTGTGTCTACACACATGAAATTTGTAAGCATTAAAGGACATACTTACAGTGATAACTGCAGGGCCAGATGAAAGAAAGTGCAGGAGCAAACAGAGAGAAAGAAAAAATAAGGCAGTTGAAGAAATGTAATAGCATTTACAGTATTGGACAATGTACAGAGGTCAAGGAGAATTGCTAGACAAGATTATTCACTGAGTATTGTCTTTGTGGGTTCAGGTTGTGCCTTTGACTTGACTGCATGTTTGTATGACAGATGGCTGTTAGGCAGCAGGTGGACTGTGTGTGTGTGATCTCAGCCCGAGAGGCTTGAGTGATTGCATGGCTCTTCTCACTGGTCATACAGTTAATTATTCAAAGACTCCTTCAAGGTGACAGAGAGAAACAGATAAAGAGAGAGAGCGAGAGAGAGGTACCAAGAGAATGATAATATCTTTGACTTGAGTATTCACACTTTTTTAGGTGCAGACAGTTGTCAAAGTCTTGGGTAGTTGGTTTGGTTCAGATATATCTCTAACTGCTGTTTTATGTCTATTAGGGGACGGATATGAAACACCAAATATATCATATTTAAGTTATATTGGTGGGTATTTTTGCAGCCTCCAGAGTTATTTTGAGGCAGTGGAAAATAGCTGACGCTCCAGGTTTGAAGAACTGGTAAAGACGGCATCCTATGAGTCACTGCTCAGTAGATTAAAAGGTAGTTTGGAAGATGGGCCTTCCTCCTGGGACCTTTTAGACCTTTATATAGATCGATAGAGGGCCTGTTTAGATTTTAAGCATAGCCAAAAAATATCCCGGCTGTGATGTTCTCACTTCACGAATCTCTCACTTCTGAATGTGCTACTTATTTTTATTAATTTACTTACAATTTATCTTTTATTTCTGACACCATGTCTTATAATAGTGCCCTGTCCTGTATCCTTGAAATGATGTGAAGGTTATCTTGCTTCCATGTACCAACCCTTTCTTTCAAAAACAATAAAAACTTAAATTCCAATAATGTCGACAACAATTGCTACTTTTAGTGTACCGCTAAAGTTCATTGAGTCATGTATTACAAAAAAAGTCTAGAGTTTTATTTTGAACAGGTCCCATACTATGAAAAATTTTAAAAATACATGTATGCAGATGTAAGTCTAATAATCTGTGTGTGTGTGTGTGTGTGTGTGTGTGTGTGCTACCTGTGCGACAGTATGGGTATGCGTTCCAGGCCTTCTCGTGGATGTTGAGAGCTGAAGCTGGAGCCAACATTCTGACAAATGACGGCACTTTACTGCAGGACAGAGGAGTGAAGAGAGAACAAACCAGGGTAATTGCAATAGTATTTTAATTATTTTATTTGTACTTTTTCAATCTGGACAGATTAGGTACATGGGTACAAAGCATATAGTACAGTACATATTTTATGTTATAGTATCCTGCCCACATTCTTGCCATAACCTTACCACACCAAACCTTTACCTGATCCCAATGCTCTCTAATGTTTATCTAAACATAATTTTAATAGATAAAGATTTATTTTAAGACTTTTACCTAAAAGTAACCATCTCAAGTTCTCTTAATACCTAAATATAACCACTCATATGCTGTCTGGTTTGACCAGTAACATTGCTTCTTGCCACGACTGCGGTTTGATCCAACATTTTAGTGGACAGTGGTCGTCCAATTTAGACATCAGTGTCAGAAGAACCCCTTAAATAAGGGAATAGTTGACACTTTGGGAAATGTGCTTATTTGCTTTCATGCCACAGATAAGAAGATCAATACCATTCTCTTGTATTTATGCTAACAACAACACTAGAGCCAGCGGGTCATTAGCTTACCTTAGTATAGCTTAGCGTAAAAACCGGAAGCAGGGGGAAATGGTTAGAACACTAAACTGATGGGGAACATGGTCAACATTATACCTGCTTACCATCAACATGTTAGCATTATCATAGTGTCTATGTTAGTATTTAGCTCAAAGCTAAGAGTGGTATCAACCTTATCATCTAACTATTAGTAAGTGAGCAAAGAAGTGTAGGCTATATACCAAAATGTCAAACTATTTCATAAAAAGTAGTGGTTGTTTCAGCTTACTAGACTGCATGGAGTGGACAAGGAAGAAGACTTTAAAGTGATGGGATAATAAGCCGAAGCAGAAAAAATATATGAATGGATAGGAGCCAAGAGATATGGCCTCGAGGAAGGAATAAATGAAGGAGTCCTCCTGAGTGAAATTTCTGGACAACTGCTTACCTCTGCAAATGGTAGATTTTGTGTGTGTACTGTCCCTTCTCTCCATCTTTCTCGTAGGGCTCATTTTTTAGCACCTCCACTCCTTCTCCTCCACCAGTCTCATTTTTACTGGCCTCAGCCACAGAGTACAGCTGTCCGACCTGGTACTGAAAAAGAGAGACAAAAACTGGTTGGACTGAGGTAGAAAGTGTGTTTAAGGTGTAAAAGAAATAAGGAGCTGTTTCCCCTCAAGGCTCCCTTGATTAACACATGTAGGAGTCAACATTTATTATCCTGTAGATGATGCTTTCACAGTAACATACAGATATCCTTTGCTTTTTTTCATGTTTATTTCATCAGCTCATCCATTGATGGATTCCTTTTTCTTCTGATCCCTATTCTGATCACTACCTTCTCCTTTCCTCGCCCTTGAATCCTCATAATCTCTCCCATACACTCTTGCTTGTCTTCCTCTTCCACAAACTGTACACTTTCTCCTTCTTTCATCCCTCTCTTTCCCTCATTCCCGATCTTCCTGATCCCGAGTGTGCATGTGAGTGTTTAAACACAGGACAATGGCCGCTTTCATTTCCTAATCACCTCTAATCCACCATGTAACCTCTGCACAAACTGGACAAGAGCGCAGACGCACTTAGAACATCACAAAGATGTAAGAAGTCAATGTAGTCAGAGTGATTCTATTCACAGCAGTTATCACAGTTATTCTTTCTATTTCATTGTTGATGTAAAACACCATTCTGTAAAATCATACCATGAGAATGTCATAGTTTACATGTTTACACACATATAACAAAGCAACAATGCCCCCTGTGGTCAGTTTGCACACTTCATTGTAACAAAGAAAACAATGTAGAAACCAGAGTGGATTTCACATAGAAAAGTTTGAATTAGTCAAAAAATATATTAGTCATGTTGAAGAAATACAAGTAGTGTGCTTAGCCTGTCACAACTAAGTTGGACAGAACTAGGATTGGGCATCGTTTTAATTTACGATGCCAGTACCAAAACCAGTACCCTTAAAGTGATAGCGATACCAAGAGTACTTCATTCGATACCTTGTACAAAATGCCACCTGCTGAAGCCATAGTGGTTGATTGGTAGCCTATTATTATTTTTATTATTATTATGGAGAAACAATGTGATATATTTTACTTTTTTCTTGTTTCAAATAACTGTTATATAATAAAAGTTTTGGGAAATTGTATCAGATCACTCATCACGGGTAGTATTATAGGGCGAAAGACTACAGCTTGCGAGTTTTTTTATATTTGAATGAGAGAGAAGGAGTGAAAGAGTTTAGCAAGCAAATGAGTTGTGGGAAATAAATTTAAGGTAATATTTTGATACGTGTGTTGAAAGTAAACAATGGAAAATAATTTTGTTAACTTTCGATCAATAAACTGAATTGAAATATCTCCATGAGTGCTTTTTCCTTTATTGGTGAGTTGCAAACCTCCAAAAATGACAGTCACGAGTATAAAACGAGTAAGGAGTCAAGTCACTTAACTACACTAAAGACTCACAAATGGAGGAAAAGAGAGGCTGCATGTCCAGCCAATCACACCAACTACACCTGAAGCAGCTGCAGCTGCAGCTGCAGGCTCCTGAGTAAAATCAGCTGATCACTGCTGCGAGACAAAAGCGTTTAAATGATGCGATGGAACGCAGCAATCGATCAGTGAAAAGTGAAATGAATAGCAAATAAAAATGTACAGAGAACTGTTAAATGATACCAGAAGATTAAACCAACGGAAAGCCAAGCTTGTGGTTATAAACTTGCAACAGTGACGAACATGTCGGAGACGAGACAAGACAAGATTTAACCTTGCTTCACTTTCAAGCAGTGTTTTGGATAAATGAAACATGGAAACATAAACGATTAGCACAGCATAACAGAACATAAGACAACATAAAAAGCCAATAAATACGGAAAGGTAAAAAAGAACATATGCTCTAAAAAATCTACCTATTAATTGATTCTGGTACAGAAACCCTGAGAGAAAAGTAAGAAAAATTATTCTGGTGATGTAAGAAAACAGGTGAGAAAAAAGATTTGGCCTAGGATAATTTTTTTCAGGTAAGGTATACAGCATATACTGTATGTTAGCATGCTATGCACCTTGTGTTTAGATTGCACCTGGAAGAAAACATGTATGCTTTTAGTCTACTAGAACATGGGGTTGTGGTGCTTCTGGCTGAAAAGAGTATTACAATAACAACGACACATTTTATTTTTACCTGCCAAAACGATTTTTAAAAAGATTCAAAAACGTTTTTTTCACCTGTTCTTAAAGCCAGAATCCGTTACATTCAAGCCCTCGCCAAACAAGCTCACACAATGCTGATTATGCCTATCACCCGTGTTTTATGCCAACTAGAAACAATTGGTTGAAAGCTGAAGGGGGGAGCAACTGTAGTGAGATCAGCAACTCAGTATGGCAGAGCATATATGTCATATGCATGTGTCAACAGTGTTGTGCAATTACTCTCACTATCAGAAGGGTTAGGGGACGAACATTCCCTACTGCAGTCATTAACAATGAAATCACCTAAATAGACAATGAAACACTCACATCAGCTCCTACATGTACATGTAGTACTGTATATGTCAGCTGGTTGTAAATGTAGCTTTTAGCAGTTTTAACTTTTCTGCAATTACTGCAGCCAAAAGATTGTGCAACACTTTTTGTTGCACATATTTTAATGGTATGACATTGTTACGTTGATTTTCCTCTATCAAGAACATCAGGTTTTCTCCTTTATCAATTAATTTGACTGTCCAGAGGAAATTTCAAAGCTCTAGGAACATTTTCCCTGACCAATTACATGCTTTAGGCAAGCCAAGAATTGCTAAAACTTGGGGAGTACTTCCAGATAACTCATTAAGGCCATAGCTATGAAATTAACAAGGATAGTGAATTGAGGCCAAATCCTAGATATAATGTATTTACAGTGGGACTAGGACTTTCACATATAAATGATTGTCATTACATTCAAGACCTCGCCAAATGAGTTCACACAATGTTGATTAAGCCTATCCTCGCCAGGTAAATATCTCTTTATTCACAGTATACCAGAGTTTTTAAACAGAACAATACAAAACATGTGTCTGTGGCAACATTCTCGTGCTAGTGCACCAGTAGTGATGCGTTTTAAGTAAAATGACCTTCACATAATGTGAACACTAAGATGTTTTGGAGAGGAGAAGTAAATGTGACCATGGTGGATTCAGTTACTTACACACCTGAGCAACAGAGAGAACGTCAAATGTAAACTGGAGACTGTTCCCTCAAATCAGCAGCTCATACTGCAACTGCCGACTAAATAAATGGGATGCAGGAACAGCAAAGCCTCCTGGGTGTTGGACAAATATAATTCAACCTTGCCTTGTGGCGGGAGGCCATGTCAAGTTATACCAGAACTTCCTTCTTTATAAAAATAAAACACTAAATAAACTTCAGGTCAAAATCAGCCCTTGGCAGGAAGTTAACAGACAGGAAATTCAATTCAGTAAATTCTTCAGCAGGAACAACAGCAGGGACAGTCTCGTCCCCCCCCAACAAGACCTTTGTTCACAGAAATTAATCCATAGTCGTGAAAATACAACTTTTATGTTTATTTTGTTTTAGATCTAAAGCCTCAATAAGCCAGAGGAAAAACAATGACAAGAAATCAGCGGGGTGTATTGCTCCGTCCAATGCCTTGTGGCTTTGAGTTGGCTTCCCGACTTCCTATGACTGGCATGGCAATGATGGGGCACAGTGTATTAGGTTCACAAAACTGTTTTCATGAATTGCTTTTTGGCTTTCTTTGTTAATGCAAGCCATTGCCGAGATGTTGGTGGAAAAAAGACTCCATGTTACAGATTTAAAAATTTTTACATGTGACAAATACACAAGACTATAAAGAAGATATGTCCTGCTAATCTCAGCTGCAAACATTTTCTCTTTGAGGACTCACTCGTGCTTTACACTCATACTTGCAACAGTTTATTGTGTTTAAGAGCAGATTAGGTGCTTGGTTGGGTGGGTGAGTGAGTGGGGTACAGAAGGAGTAATAATGTAGTTTCAGGTGATTCATTTACAATGCAGCTCTGGATAGAAGAGCAAACTGCAATGGGAATGAGACAGCAGGGGACAGAGGGACACAGAGATAAAAGAGGACGATGACAGTGAAAGACTGTGCTGACTGTGCTGATTGATTGATGGGTCTATCTGATTGGACCCCTCTTTAAAATGATGGATGCTCACCAGAGCTGTAAAATATCAAGATACAAAGAATTCTTCTCACAAGTTGATCACTGCTGCATATTTTCTATGCACAGGTTGCATAATTGATATATCACTTTTATATTATAAAAGTATGTATGTGTAGCACAAACAAGTCCAAAGGCCATCCAAAAAAACCCAGCTTTAGTTATGGCAGGCACTTGTTCTTCACTTCTCCAAATACAGTGAACCAAAGAATCAGATAACAAAAGCTGAGCCTTGAGCCAATTTAGGTAACACACACACTGAAATATACTGAAATTAAACTTACCTCTTCGACAGAGATTGGAAGAATCACTCGACTGGAAAAGAAAGGAAAAGGAAAAGTTACTCAAAAATCATCAAGTAACAATCAAACAATCAAAACCTTGCTCTTCCTGAACTCTGCTTGTTGTATTAGTTTGTGTGTTTGTTTGTAAATCTAAATGTTGCTGACGTTGGTTGGCTTAACGTACAGCTTAAACTCAGAATGTCTGTTTTCCCTGTGAACAACCCTGTTGTGCGCTTGTTGTTTTAGTCTGTAATAAATCACAGGAATTGTACGATAACGTTAATCATGCTTTCATTTTGTAAAGATGACCCTTATCTGTGAACTGGATTAGCCTGGAGAAATCCTGTAAGTGACACACTGACAACATGAACTGACATCTTTAAGCGTTCAGCTCGATACAGATCTGGACACCAGTGATCTGGCAAACATGCGTCTTTTCTATGATGCTGTCTCAGAGGACTCTTCAGCTGAGCTTGAGTAAGCCAACAGGCATTTGTAATGAGGAACTCCAGATGAGTGACAAATTTAAGGATAACCCATCATGGTATGGAGTCTCTATTGGAGGGATGAACACCATTCCTCCACAAGTATCTCCTCATCTATATATATACAACTTTTATTTAATCAGCTAATCTCATTGAGATCAAGATCTTGAGTACAGCAGGTAGAAAAAAACACACATAACCGGACATAACAAAAGAACATAGTATCTGAGACAGTCACACAAATCACTAAATATATTTGAAGATTAAAGTTTATATTATATAATTTGATGTTATGGAGATGGCGGTGGACATCATCGTCTTACATGTTGGTCCAAAATCTTCCATAGGTGTGAAAACAGGGTTGAGATCTAGTGACTATAAGGGCTGTAGAATTTTATTTGCGCCATTTTCAAACTCACCAAACCGTTCAGTGAGCCCTCAATACGTTCTATACTTTTGTTTTATAGTTGCAAAACAATGCTTGAACTTTCTGTGGGTCAGATGAACATTGACACCTCCTAGTGGACAGAAAATAAACACACATGTGGCCAGCATTGCCTGTACTTGACCTAAAATAGTGTAAAGTAAGCTGGTGTGTGTAGGCCTACACAGTCTGTTTCTCTTGCATAAATAAAGCTTGACAGTAGGATTATTCATATAGCCATTGATGGTTCACGTGTTCCTGCTGTTAATGCCCTCTGCCACATTTTGTTTGTGTCAAACATTTTTCTGTTTCAACACCAGGCAATGGAGCTGGCTAACAAATAGACACACCGCCAATAAAGTGATGACATCCATGCCAGCACTCTTTCAGAATGAGCCAGGAACAAATTTGTTCTTGTGCACAGTTTGACTGGGTGGCAGCAGGCCCGGTGAAACTAAAATAATGGTTAAACATAGTATGTTGCACTACATAAAACATGCAAATAGGAAAGACAAGTGAAAAGTGACTCAATAATCCATTATCAGTGTAGTGAACACTACGATGCATAAAGAAACAAACCCTACTGTTGTTTAATTCTCTTACATTTACATTGTAGCACAGCTGAGTGCATTACCTACAGCATTTCACTGAGAAATCTATTAGACACATTTACCATTGTGATCTCATGATCAGTGTTTCATGTTTTAGGTGACTGAACTCAACACACACACACACACACACACACACAGTATTAACATGTGAAGAAAGACTCATTTTGTGCACACTATTTCTGAGCTCTTTCATATTACACAGATTAACACACTGCACCACCACCTCCCCTTTCTCTGACACTTTTGCATTTCCTACCACATACTGCACATGTACAGGGTGCAGCTCTGTTGATTGTTTTGTAACTGTGTGATGTATGCCTAAATTCAGATAATCCTGCATCCCACTCGCCGCTGAATGTAATCTGGGTCTGAGTCCCAGCCAGACATTGGATGGGAGACCAGATGCTGCATGGAAGGCAGAGACAGTAAAAAAACTGTATGTGATGTCAAATGAAAATATTAAAATAGGACTGAATTTTCAGTTTATCTTTTCAGTATATTATTTTCTTCCCTATGTTTCAAAGAGCAAAGAGGACTTAGGTTTTAGTTAAATAAGGACTAAAGTCACCTTAATGCTCTCTCTCTCTCTCTGCAAATCTCCTTGGTCTACAGGTCTTGACAGGAAGATCAGGTGTCTCTCTGTTGCTTCAGAAAACAAACACCCTCTTCTCTCCTGCACTGCACATCTTTTCTGTCTTCTCATCTTATCCCCCTTTCAGTCTGTCTCTACTCTTTAACTGCTTCTATTCCATTGTCTTCATCACACTGTATATTGTGGCAGTGGCTCCTGTGTTGCTGTACACCTGCCAAAGCTAATGGAAGTGGAGAAACAGTGAACCAGGAGTGATGTAGGTCAGTGGTTCAGGTGAGCAGGACATAGTAAAGAAAAACTGTCTACAGCAGGACATGGATCACTTCACTGTCTCTTGACCCCCCATGATGCTGTCTTGGTGAATGTGAGTGTAAGTGTGTGTGTGTGTGTGTGTGTGTGTGTGTGTGTGTGTGTGTGTGTGTGTGTGTGCATGTCCAAGCCTCTTCCTGTGCCAATGTGTTGACAGTGTGTATAAATGCATTCAGCATTTAATCGTGACCGATTTAATTAATTTCCAGGCAGACTGTTGAGACTCAGGCTCTCCCTAATCACTTCAGATCTTTAGCCATGCCATCACTCTCATCCTGAGCTTTTTCTGCTGGGCTATTAATTGATGAAATACATGTGTTGAGAAATCAAGACAGCCAGACTCTGGTCAATATCGTTGTATTTTTTTGATCAGGTAGTGTTAATTTTAGGCATAAGCTACCGGTGGCTGAAAGTTGTTAACAGTTACAGTATTGCTCTGACCTTGCCTTAGAATGGCAATTTTTTTTACAGGTAGAGTCACAAGCTCCTTAATGCAAAATGAGTGTGGTGTACACTGACACCAGTTAAGAGCATGACAAGGAAGGAACCACCATCCATGTCTGAAGAGGACAAACTAATATCAGATTATTTTTAAAGCCAATACATTTGCAATCAACTGGCCCTACCTTCATTCTAACCACCAGCTGATTCTGAGGCCTCAGTCAGTTATGCTTACAGCGCGCTGAGGCCTGCGAAAGCAACGTGTTAAAGTAACGTGTTAAAAAAATCCCCAAATCGCTCCCTTTGCACGCACGACCCTACTTTACATGCTATCCAGTCCCTTCTGCCCAGCTGTCACATCCTCTGAAATGTCTGACTGGTGCGTCAAAACCTCGCCATTTACCATATTTTGCCAAAGCTTTGCAACCACCACCCGTACCTGCCCACTCCCACCCCGTCTCCCCTCGAGCATTCCTCTCAGCACCTCGCTATCTCAGTTCCTCCAGAGGTAAATGCCGGAATGCTCCCATCAGTCGTTTCACCTTCACCGCGCATCAATAACATGGCCACAGTGCTTACAGGGATGGACGCTGGCACGGCGCGGCGTACACCAGCCATCTCTACCCTCAGCACCAACGCTCCTCTCGAGCAACCGTCCCTTCAGCACCACCAGAGCAAATGACATTTTATTATCCGCTACGGTGAAAGCCTCTCGATTTCACTTGAAGGCTTGTGATGCAAAATGTGAAGGGCACAGCCATGCCTACGCCGGGTGCTGATGCAACTACAGCCGCCGCTTTATTACCTCTCGGTTTATTTGGTGAATGCTTTTAGGGTGATGGAGTGTCGTATGGTTGAAAAATTATGACGGTCAATGCGCGATGTCGACACCAGCCTGGCAGCACTCTTGTAATTCCACTCTCGGGCGACTGGCCACAATGTCAGCGCTGCGAAACCAGACGGATAAACGCGCACACAATAGCCTTCCCCTCTCTCTGCCACTGTCATACATACACACACAGCTACTTACAATTCTTTTATGAGCATTTTCGGCGGTGCAGTATATCCCAGAGGGAAGCAGCTCAGTACGGGTCCAGAAACAGGGTCGATCCCTCCCACCGACAGTCTCTTCTTTCGCCGCTTGCTTTTCTCCCACCTCTCCCCCTCTATGTCATTCTACCTCCACAGTCGCCTATTTTCTTCAAATTCACTTCCTGATCGGGGCCGCGGCGCGGCGTTGCTGTTGCGCGCAGAGCACCGAGGCCTGTGCAGAGCTGACCACACACAGAAAAGGATGGTCCACCAGGGGGTGGTTTGTGGTTGTGGTGGGTCCATGCAGCTAGACATGATGAGTGAATTGAGATACCCAGTTTTGTAAATGTATATTAAATATCTAAAAGCCTACTTTTCAAAATAAACATTGATAACGCAAGTGTCTACAAAATAACATTTTGCTGATTTTTGAACCGCTCATCCTGACTCTCTTTTAATAGATAGCCTACGAAAAACCCCAGACTTGGGAGCATAAATAAAATAAAGTTTAAGTTCAAAATATTGTTTAGGAATAGGGTCTATATTCCATCCATCCATCGTCAACCGCTTATCCTGCGTACAGGGTCCGGGAGGGTCTATATTCCAAATTTATTTAAGAAAAGGATCTCACTGAAACTAAAAGTAGGCTATCCTTGGCCATATAAAAACACAATTATAATGAATCACATAAAGTAGGAGAAGGATAATGAACTAATAGGCTAATACCGGCATTAACAAAGAATATGAGAACAAAAATGGATTAAAAAAACAAATCCAAAACCGGTAACACATCAGACAAACCACCAAAACAAATAAATTATCTATTTTGAACCATTTTCTTGAGCGTGTGCAATACCCTCTGCGTCATCGCTGTCACGATGATGTAGAAGCGTGGTTATTCACCGTCAGAGTGTATATGGGCATGACACGGGGACCACCACCGCTGGCACAGACGCACGGTGCGTCAGCTCTCTAAGCCCTTTAAACAAAGTCCACGCATCCAATGTGATTATCTGCCTCCAGAAATTCCTTACTCATTCCTGTCCACTACTGTCACATGAAATTATTTGTTTTACATTAAAACGACTATCAAATATATTTCTGGCCTGTGTGTTTTCAATTGTGACCATAAGATGAAACCGTGGAAGGAAGATACAGCCATCCTGATAAACCCACTTAGGAATTACAGGCTCTCTCAAGGTCCCCACGGAGGTCCCCTGGCCACGCTTTGATCCACCACCCACGGGTCTATAGGATGGCGCGTGATGCGATGTCAAGACATCACAAGTCCCTAATCCAAACCCACATCCCGGAGATCGCGGGATGAGAGTGAGTGTGTGAGTCTAAAATTATGTAACAGCCCACTGCTGCTGTATTTATAGCGCAACTGTATCCGTCTGCCAACATCAGCTTTTCATCCTCTGTCTTCTCATCTGTAGGGGCGTTTACACTTCCTGCACTGTACCATGAAGTAAATGGTACATCTATCTATCTATCTATCTATCTATCTATCTATCTATCTATCTATCTATCTATCTATCTATCTATCTATCTATCATCCACTCAAGTTCAGTCAGGTTTGAATTTATATATATCAACAGGAAGGTTGCTGGATATAATTAAAATAATTACAAATACCTTGTGCTAAAGTGTGCTTTATTACTGTATATTGCCCAAATGCCTTTTACCTTTTCCCCCTATTTGACTCACTGATTTGTATGATCATTTTGAGCACAACAGATAAAATGCCCTTAGCTCATACTTTCAGTTTTTCTCAGTCTCCTTGGTGCATTTCTCAGATCAGAATCTAAATTCTCAAAACTACTTGTTCAACCTCCACATCATCTTATCAATTGTGCACATCATAAAAGCAATTTCTAATTGTTTTGAACATATTACAAGTGCTTTGACACATTGATGCAAATGATTATGGACAACTTTCTGCTGTTTCCTACATTATCAATTGCTTATGTCATGCTGATCACAATGTATTATTATTGCAGTCTCTATTCATTCAACTTACACTGTAAAATTCCAGCTAAACCAAGGCTTTTTGAAGACCCTTTTCTCTCTCTCTTTGGCTAGCCTGCCATTCACTGGTCTTGTATGAAGCTTATTGTTGACCCCTTTCTCTCTCTCTCTCTCTCTCTCTCGCCTGCCATTCACCAGTCCTGTGCAGAATTTTGCATGCAATCCCTGCTACCGACAACTGCATGCATGTCAAGGTTCCTCACGGGTCTATTTCAAATTATATTATTGCTTTTTAATTTTTTTTTATTGCTATTTAAAAACTATATAATATTCTTTGTGTGGTTGATAAATTATCCGACTGTGAGATTGACAGTCGAATTAGTCTAGCCCATATATATATAGAGAGAGAGAGAGAGAGAGAGAGAGAGAGAGAGAGAGATCATATATATATGTCAATCATATTTTCTACACATGTCTATTAGACTTTTTTTTGTAAATATCTCCAGAGATATCCATTGATGTGGATAAGAATCTTAGACCTGACAGACAGAAACATCAGCCTAAGGAGTGTTTCACATGCTTACATTTCTAATTTTGTAATTTCTACCATTGTGCTATGCAGTCAGTTTTTCTTTTCTGTATCACAATGATATGGTCTGGCAACAAATTATAATACGAACAGTAAAAACTTTACTGTGATCCTGTCAAATCTCTTGCAATGTATAACTTTATACTGTTGAATTTGATATGCCATATTGAAAAAGTGCAACACTGTGCATTTTCAATCTCATCAAAAAGTTAGCCATAGTTTACATCAGAAAACACTTACAGAGTACAGTTATATTGATAACATGACTAAACATTTTGACTATCTTGTTTGTAAACAATGATACAAGGACTTCTCATTCTGATTGCACTGACATGTTCAGTGACATAAAGATTTGCTTTTGAGAGATAGACTAAGGATTTTGAGCAAGTTACAGGCTTTTGCAGGAAATCCACTATGTTGTGCTGTTTGTTCGATATGTTTCGAGAAATGCACTCACTGTTTTGCATATGTTATGGATAATTTGAGAAATGTGAGTGAGAAAAACTGTAAGAAGTGTGTGGTCAAACTGTTTCAACACTACTTGCTTTACAATGAGTCTCTAAGCCAGTGGCATCATATTGCTTCTTTGAACTGTGTACCTGAACAAAACACAGCGGTTGGCCAGCCAACAAACAGTTTCCTCCTCAGCAGCAGCAGCAGCAGCAGCAGCAGCAGCACCAGGCCAGCAGAGCTCCAGGAGCCACTGTGGATGGGTTGGTCCCTGATGTGAGTGTCGTTCTCAGATCTATTCTCAGGTGACGAGAGGGGCTGAGGTGTCAAGTGAAAACAATCTGCTGGAGTGTAGTATCAGGTGGCAGAGCAGAGTGCTGACAAACTTGTAGTGAGAGTGTGCCGGGAACATCTGGTGAAAAAAATTCTGTTCAAAATTACTCGTAATCTCACCTCTGAACAAGCTTCTCTGAGGGCATGGAATCAGGAGACCCTGTCGTTAAAGTAGATTAGCAGTTCATATGTGAGTACTTTCTGGATAAATATAACACATGGTACGTGAGAAAACCGTGCAGTTATACAGAACGATGTGCTAAAAACAAAAATCAGGCTCAATTAAGATCAGAAGCCACGTCCTTATTTTTCCAAACTTGGTATAATTGTTTGGGAAATGGGTTTCTTTTATTTTTTATTTGCCAGTGTGTTTCAAATCCAGGTCTTTGTGTATCAAATATTCAGTAAACATAACTATACTTCAGTTGCAATAAAGCCTAAAGGACCAAAATGTACCCTAGTTTCTTCATCCAATAACACGCTGCTAATACTGACCTCTGCTGGTTTGTTGCACAACAACATAAAACTCCATCAACTACAAATTTGTTTTAATTCTTTTTTAACCTTCTGTGAAATTATAATTAATTTTCTTATAAATATAAACTCAAAACTTCAAATACAAGCACAAATTCAAAAACAAAAAAAACAAAACAAATCTCAAAAGGACATTGTTGTCCAACACGCCAACAATAGATCGTCATAGGAGCCAGTTGCACACTAATGAAAGACACTGGCCACTTCATCAGTGGGCTTACGTCATTTTGTATTTATGAGTTTCAGAAAGACGTAGTTTCAGAATCTGAAAAACTGCAACAGCTATCACCACACTAAGAAGTGAGCATTGAATAGCCACAGTTTATGCAGCCAGGTAAGAATTACACAGATATGGTTACACAGAGACATATAATGTAGCCTGGTGAGCAAATGAAAAAAACATGCACAAGAGCAACCATTTAAAGAGCAACTCATCTTTATTAAACCCCCAGGAATCCTTCAATATTTAAACAGGAATGCCTGCACAACAACACATCTCTACATTATCTTCAGTGATAGAAGAAAGAGCTCTACGCGAACAACACAGTGAACGGTCAGACAAATGAGTAGTTGCCAGCACAGCGCAATTTAAATACATCATGAAACTTATTATGGAAAAGTGAATTTCAAATAAAATAAATACATGTATGAAGGGAGGAGGAGCTCAGAATTAAAGAGGGACTATTTCTCTAGAGAGCCATCAGGAGAAAAGTGCTGACAGTAGCCAATGTTTGTGGTTGACAGGGTTTAAAGTGCTGACCTTCTCTTGACAGTAGATAGACAGACTGAACTGAACTGACTTTAAGCTAAGGCATCTGAATGATGTTGATTTTACGGATACACTTAATTGAGAACATTAAGTATACTGAAATGTTAAAAAACCTTGATGTATAAATGGGTATTTATAAAAAAAGGGAGACTATTATCACTGACATGGACAAAAAGGTTCAATAGAACATGCCGCCCAATTAACAAATCTTTTCTTTTATGTGGAGGTATATTCAAAAGGCAGTATAGTATAGAAAGAAAACTAAAGAAGGCAGGAAATTAAATAAATAGTCTAAATATATATGCACATTTTGCTGTTAGCAAAGAATAACGGTTTGTTTGATGTCCCTCTTACAGAATACAGCCCCCCAAAAAACATTGACATTCATCCAATACTACAGTGTATTCTAAGCTACAGTAGATTCATACTGTAATAAGATGTTAACCTCATTAAAAAAGAAAAAAAAATCCAGTCCTATAATTAATCACAATGACTGTCCTTTCTACTCACTCAAGAAACATCAGCAGAAAAGCTCTTCTCCCTGTCGCTCATTAATGCCATTTAGTCCATACTTACCTTACGCCATCTATCAAAAAATCCATCTGATGAATGGATAGGTAGCACCATGTTACGCAATCTACAACTACAGGATGATTCAAAGTCAACATATTAAACAAAAAACAAAACAAAATCATGGAATCACTCACTTTATAATGGTGAGGTGGGTTGTGAGGGAGACATTTATTCCCTTTTCTGCTTATATGGGGAAATACTAAAGCAGTCTTATGTGGAATGCAGCTGCACTAATGTGCCACTCAGAGAGGAGGGAATATAAAGAGAAGTCAGAGGATTTGGGGGAATGCAGAGGGCTGATGCCTCTTTCCTTTCACAGTCTTTCCTCTCTCTTGTTCTTCTTTCCCCCTCCATGTTTCACTTTCCTCCTCAGCGCCCATCATATGGATTTGCTTCGGTGACAACTGCAGCATCAGTTTATCTTGGTGGGATTTTGAAAAATGTAAGTGGCTGCCTGTTTGTCTGTGTGTGTACTCGATGGAGACGAATAAAAATGTATGTCTATATCCAGTATGTTAAATGTGATGTTCTAAATAGTCAAGATTTCAAATGTCTTTTTGTACGTGTATATGTGCACATATTACTGTTTAGCCAGTGTTTCTCAGTAAAAAAAATCTTTCTTTATCCTCTGTTTTCCATTCCTCTGCATTTACTTTTCTCTAGACATAGGCCTCTGGGATGTCGGAGCCGTTGATTTTGATGTAGATCTTAGCGTTGTCCTCCCTCTGCTGTTGCTCTCTGTAGAGCGTCCGTCTGTAGCAGATCAGGTAGAGCGGCAACAAAAAGCCGAGCATACTGAGAACAAGGAGTCCAACATTGACCTGGAAGAAAGACGCCAGAATTAGCCATACCCGTGAGTGCATGTTTTTGAGTGTGTGTGTGTGTGTGGGTGTGTATTCATACCCAGAGTGGGTCGCCCTCCAGGGGTCCCATCATGGCCAAAAATAGGGGTTGCTGCAGTAGAGCAAACACAGCGCTGACCAGAGACTGCATGCCTGTTAGACTGCCAAACTGGGAGGAGGGATACCTGGAGAGACAGAAGCAGTAGTTTCTCAGTTTGAAGCTACATCCTCATAGAGAAGACGGAGATGATGATGATGATTATGTATGTGTGTGTGTGTGAGGGTAGAGGCACACTGACACTTACACAGCAGCATAGAGGCCGCCGACAGCAGAGTGAATGAATCCTCTCACCACAGTATGTAAGACAAATGACACAATCTGTGGAAAGATGATATTCGTAATCATTTGGTTAATTCAGCCAGTTTATGAGAACCTTAAAAGAACAGTTCTACATTTTTGGGGAAATATACCTTTTTTCATACTTGCCAGGAGTTAGATGAGAAGATCAATACCACTCTCATGTCTGTCTGTTAAATATGAAGCTACAGCCAGTAGCAGGGGGAATATACTATCCTCTGTTGTTTAATCTGCATCCAGTCAATACTGTGTTTCCTGGTTTATAGGTTAACTTTTCTGCCTTCAGACAGAGCCAGGCTAGCTAGACTTACACAAAACTGTCTGTCTCTGGTGTCAACAGTCTGTAAAAAAGAGGCTTATGTGTAACTTCTTTAGAGAAAATCTCTAAAGGCCATAAAGAGACACTGATAACTTTGCTTGCATAGCAGTTGTATCCTTGAAGTATTTTGCAGACCTGTGTGTATCTCTGACAACTGAAGTGGACCTCTCACCTGCAGGGGGAGATTGGGCACCAGGCTGGTGATCCCAAATCCTACTAGAAGGACGTTTGTGAGGATGAACGCTCGCAAGGCATTGGTCACCTTCTGGGTCTTTTTGTCTCTGCGCTTTTTCTTTTTCTCCCCCCTAGTGGTCAAAATCAGACATAAGAAAGAGAGATTAGGTTATCAGGTACTGATATCACAACTCTCCCACAATAAAGGTTGATTTCTTGGTTTTGTTCATCAGACTGGCAAGTAAACATTGCAGTAATGTCTGGCCTATAACTGGAAAGGGGGTTAAGGGCAGTCTAGGAACAACTCAAACTTGACTCACTTGCTACAGGGTTCCTTTTCCTCCTCACCATCATCACACTCTTTCAGCTTCCAGTCCATGATCTGACCAATCACGGGAGTGGTCATCAGGCACAGCAACTGCAGCATGCCGAAGATGGAGGAGTACAGACTCACTGAGAGATGGATCAGAATGAGGACAAAAAGCTTTTTAAAAAAGTGGAATAAATATTAGAAATTGAGAAAAAAACAGAAAGGGGTAGGGTCAGAGGAAAGCATAAAAAGACGATAAGATGAAGGGTTCAGGACCTTTTTCTACCTGGTTAATGACTGTGACGGTACAGTTAATCATTAGTCCTGGGTTGTAGAGCCACACTGAGTGAAACAACAGTGGATATGGAGAAATCGGCTGTTCAAAAGTCAATTTCATGCCATTATGAGGCGATTTATGGCCAGTGGAGTAATGATCACTTAAAAGTGCGTCATGTGAAACAGCTCATATGCTGAGGGGCAAGTTAGTTAATGAATACAGCAAATGATGTGATACCTGTTGGTTTCAGATTAAGGCTGAATGACAACTGAAGGACTTGGTTATTAACATGGACAACAGCCGAGGTCAAATAATGAAATAACAACACCAGCTATGGCAAAAGCCAGAAAGCAATGGTAGTGGATCTGAAGTATTGTGGTGGTGAACCTATACATGACTAGAGGTTAAATTCTAATTGTTGTCTAATGCTTCAGTACTCTAATAATACAACTATTGGACTTTAGTCTTACCAACTTCCATTCTCTCCACTGAAAATTCAATTGAAAAAACAAGTAAGTCCAGCTGCTTTTACATCATGATAAAAAGTTTCTGAACACAGACACAGCAAAGCACAACTCGATTCTAGGTAAAGCAAAAAATCAATGTTCATCTACATGCAAAGGCAGAAAGATACTCAAAACAAAGAGACAGACCTTTGTTGAGGTCTCCATCACTGAGCGACTCCAGGACGCTATTCATGGCCCCCATGTAGAACAAGAGACGAAGTTGAGTGACGGACATGGTCACCAGACTGAGCAGGAACATCGTGCTGGTGATGGTTTTCAAGAATGACTGGGCTGCAGAGGAGAAACAGCAACCAAACAGAGGACAATGACATGCAGTACAGTGAGAAGCACAAAAAGAGGGGGGGTTGACTTTTACTAACATCCTTGCTAACTGCAGACACACATCAGGAGCTTAGGCACTCTTACACTCTTCTTGCGGCTTGCAGTCAATTTCCAGGTCCGTGGTGGAGAGGCAGAGCTTGTTCCCGTCCTTAATGGCCAGCTCCTTCTGTGGAATGTTGCCCACACTCAGACGACGGCCCACAGTGGTCACTTGGTGGTAGAACTGCTTCCCTGTGATTTTATGGTCAAAGCCCAGCCAATTGAACTTGATCTTTATGCTGAAAGAGAAGAGGAGGACATATGGGAAACATGCATGCCACATTAATGTGGTAATTATTGCTAAAACGGTACAATATAGCTGTGGCTCTGACATCCCTGAGGCCTATGTCTAGAGAAAATCCTGTGGAGGAAATTCTACAAGTCCTGTGCGAACCAATCAGCTGGAAAAGTTTTCTGCTGCACAAGCATGACAAAAGAATGATTTTAATTAACAAGGGTTTACCACAGGGATACGTTTAGTTGACAAGTGTGATCCTCAGCAGATAGACTTTAACCTTGCAGCAATACACTGCACATTTTTGAACATACAGTATTACATAAGTGTCAGTGGTTATGGCTTCTGTAACACACAGGAGACTGCTATTAGTTCATTAGTCCAGCTAGTTTTGTTTTTAAAAGACTTACTAATCTTATTTTTAAATGTATTTTCAGTGATCTCTGAGATATCTGTGTATCTGTGCTACTAACGTGTAGTCCATGTCCTCTGGTCCAGGAAACGGTTCCAGAGGCCAGTTGAAGAAGCAGTTCAAGAAGACCAGTCCAGCACAGGCAGCCCACACCACTAGAATAGTGATGAAAGTTATCCCAAGGTCATAGATCACCTGTGCACATCAAAAGATGACAGATGAATACAAAAACAGAGGAGACAACAAACTGTTTACGCATAAAGTGTGGATGTGTGGGGGGGAATCAGTGTTTGCTACCTTGACACCAGGGAAGGTGACAGCGGAGGAGGCATATGAGCCGATCATCAGGGCGATGAAGGTGGAACGGAGGTCCCCAAACATGTTAGGGAGCTAGAGATGAAAAGGCACAGATAGATCAGCACTCAGATAATCACATCATCACAACCTGTCCCTGAGTTTTAGCAAACATTAGTTCTGGTCACGTTAACGCGTTATTATCGCGTTAATGCATTAATTAATTAACGCCAACAAAGTTTTTATTATTATTTTAAAAGTCTCAGAAACAGTGAGGATCGGTCTCTCTTCCAATGCTTGTGCTCCACGTCGCATACAAAAAGTTCAAGACAATTTGACTTGGCAGCAAGTGTGTGAGGCGACCATTTCACCTCACTCTAACACTTGCTACTGAACATAGACTGTTTATACTGCTCCCTGATAAAAAGAAAAATGTTTCTGCTGATACCTGTTCAGAAAAAACAACAAGAAGAAAACAGATTCATAGGCCTATATGTTAACCTGTTGCCCAGAAGGTGCCTGTTATGATGTTATGATCGTGGCTCTGGACTTGTTTTAACAAGCTAGATAAAAGGTAATGCCCTGGCAGTGACAAATAGCTTTGGTTTAATATTTGATTTGATTACATTAATGTTTAATTTGAGATTTACAAGACATATTTTATTGCTAGTGTAAAGGGAATACTGCTGGTAAAATTCACCTTATTTGTTTAAAGTGTTTGCAAACCACATGTTATTGCACTTGTATATAGCAGTATGTTTAAATTAAAAGTGTGCAATACACTACTTTCAAAGTCATTGTTCAATTTTGCGCATTATTATGCAATTAATCGTGATTAAAAATTTTAGTTGTCCAGCACTAGTAAGCATCAAGTTTAGACTATCTAATGCCAAGATCATGGTGAGCTCAGCTGCAGTGTAGCTCCTCTAAGCTTGAGGGCCTGGACAGATTGGGGACACTGTGAGGATGGTGCCTACTGACACCAGGGTCAGTGTGGACAGTGGGAACCAATTAGCGAACAGACATGGCTCTACATGAAGAAGATCAGAGAATATAAAACACACGACACAAACGCAGTGCTGACGAATTCTATCCAGCTGAAACAATGAAAGGGGGTGACTGAGGTGAGGTTACGATTCTCTGCTTTACTCTCGTTTGAGGCACGAGAACAGAGAGCAGGCAGACAAAAAACAGAGACGACAGGAGACAGCAGGTGGCAAAACATCCAAATACAAAGGCATTCACAAGCCGTTCTGTTTTCAAGAGACTGCACAACAACAAGCACATTCAATTACATAAGCTGGGGAAACTGAGGAAGAGGTATGTGTGTGTGTGTGTGTGTGTGTGTGTGTGTGTGTGTGTGCTGAGAAAGTTTGCATATAGAAGCATCCAAGTTACAGTATCTCCCAGCAATATAATCTACTTAGAAAACTGTTCCAATAGATTATTGAAACATTACACATTCATCAGCAGCTGCAGGACAAACCTGAAGGGGGAAAGGTGACCTGACAACTGACACTGGCAGGGAGCCAGTGGCGTCCGCTGAGGGCAGCTGAGTATTACCCAACACCCCTCAGCTGAGAATGGATGCCTGCAGGTTTGAGGTGGAATTATGATCAAGGAGTCAATGAGTCAAGGAGCAGTATAGAGTCTAATGATTAACCCAACACTGAGATTGTGTAGGAGAGATGGAATGAAAGGTGGTATAAGGCCAAACAAAGCCCTAAATTATGGTTGTACTACATCACAGACATTCAGGCCAGTGGGAGCAACTAATGGGAGATTTAGGTCGATGCAGCAAATACCACATTGGAGATTAACAGTGTACATCATAGTAACAGCCTGTGGTGGGGCATTTTATTGGGAGATTTACTGGAGCAGAGCCCCTCTCCAGTGAACGGCATCACCATGGTACAGCCCAGGACTCCTGTGTTGCTGAACTGATGGCAGTTGAAGAACAGCAGGGAAAGAATGCAAAGGAATGGTGAGGGGTTGATCCCGTGTACTATGTGAATCTTAAATGGCATCAGTTGTTTTTCTGTCCCTTAGTAACTATGGTTCTGCTCAATATTAGCATTAATGTTAGTCTCCACATAAGTCTGCTTACGTGGAGAACTACTACTGAGGAATACTGCATGTAAGAAAGGTTGTATACACCTTTTGTGGTTCCAGATTTAGCTGCGTGAAATAAGCTAAAGTTAGTGGTGCTTGGGGTCTAAGACTACAAGTGTGAAAATAAAATGTTGGATGGTGTGGAGTTAAAAAGAAGTGAGCTCACCAGACCCCAGTAGCCTCCTCCTCATTTGTGCTTGAGGCTAACAGCTCGAGGCCAAATAAGTTGCTATTAGCAAAACACAGCCGAATATCTGAGCTGCATTGTGAGTAATGCAGAATCAGGTTTAGACAGGGAGGAAGAATGCGAGAAATCGATTTTGATACTTTGCTACTTTTAAACTATTGATCATGCATCAGACAATGTTAGATGGGTACTCAATATAATTTCCATGAAAACAAAGTTAATCCTAAAGAGCAAAGTGTGTTGCTTTTCTAAAAGTATGAATCGTAGACCGATTCTGAGGTTTCTGATAGTTATCCTTTCTTTTACTTTTTACTTGCTATACAACATAAAACTGCAAATTAGAGTCGTAGCTCTGCTATGCAGCCTCATTATTCCCTTTGGAGCTGGATGCTGCATTACTAGTTATGTTTGTGCATGTACATCAATTGCATGTGTTTGCATAAAAAGAGAAAGACGGCCAGATGAGCAGCTTGAAAGCCCAACTGTTGCTATGATGTTCTTGCTGAAGCACAAAAAAAATTCAGTGAAAAAGTGATAATGAATTATTGCGTTACTCCACTTTCTGTCCAATCAACCACCCACCTCCCCTATCCCATACAATGCTGAGCCCAATTGTCTGCAGGAACACAGAGTGCTGCAAAGAAGCAAATAAAAATGACAGAATGCCAGACCAGAGGGGAGGGAGAGGGGGAACAGGCAGCGAGCCAACAAACTATTAAAAGAGAGCAGGAACAGTGAGACAAAGACCTATGAAGATAGAAAATATACATCTTAAAATCAAATGTTATGCGGCAGGTGCAAAGGCTCTGCAGCAGTAGGCTTACAAAGCGCACACTTACTGTGAGAGAGGTGAAGGTCATGCACATGCCCCCAAAGCCATTGAAAGTCAGGGCAATGAAGATAAGGACAGAAAGTTCTGCAAATGACACAGATGTTAGCTCACGAGTCTGTCAACAACCAAACTACTGCACTTTGTTTCAAATACAGTGCAAAAAGGTACACACAAGTACTGTTGAGGTGGACTTACCATTTGGATTGTAGGCTCCATAAGCAATTAGTAGACAGGACAATCCAAAGCAAGTGCTGAAAATAGATGATCAAGTCAAACACTTGAAGATGAATTTAAGTTAAGCAACTTCTCTCTGCCTTTTTTTTGCTTCTTGAAGGGTTTTACATGTTCCCAATACAATGTGAGTAGAAGTTTTTTCACAGAAAAAAGAACTGTCTTTCCAGAAACAACATCATGTTTAACTTGGATTATTTCTTCTCTTCTTGCCCTACCTGCCCAGCAGTCGTAGCTTGCGAGGCCCATATTTATCCATGACGATCCCGAGCGGCAGGGTGATGGCTGAGAGCAGGAAGGAACCCACTGTGAACGCCAAGTTCAGCATCTCATCCTGTTCTTTACAAATAAGCCAGCCGTTCATCCTCAGGATGCCATCCATAGGGACCAGGGGCTTCATCTCCACTCCGTCTCCCAGACCAACCACGGCACCCTCGCTTTCATAGTACTCATACTCATCGGGTGTCTGCGTTACCAGGGGTTGGGACAGATTGTAGCTGGAGCTGTTGCCTGAAGAACATGATGAAAGGAGGATATGAGCTTAAAGATACCCTGATTAAAAGGAAGTCAGGACAGGCATGCATGTAGAAAATACACTGTCAGTTGAGATGGTTCATGATGCCACAATGTCTCATTTAGCATCATCCATAAAGGTTGGATGGTGTGAATAAACATATGACTGCGTAAGGCTGAGTTCAGCTGTGTGCTCCTGCAGATGGTTTAGTGTATAGGGAGTCATCACACAGATGAAATGTATAGGTGGTAGTTCTCCTTATTCACAGGATCGGTGTGTGTGTGCGCTGGAATGCCAAGGAAAAAACATGATAATCTGGCAATAAACTTCAGATTATCATCAGAACCTGCAAGGAGATAATGTGAAAAGGTACAAAAGTCCAAGTGAGGGAGGAAGGGCAGCAGCAGTCTGGGAACTTATTGGTCATGTACGAGCTGATGTTTTTTGGTTTACTTTCCTGTATACCTATCAGCCACCCAACATCTTTGTAGTCATGTGAGGCATGTATGTGTGAAACACCATGATGAGCTTCATAACAAAGTGCAAAGGTCTTCTGCAGGAAATACCAGATCATACGCTCTGGAGCAAAGCCACAGGGAGTAGCTGGTTGACAAAGAGCATGAACAGCTTTAACCATTTCGCCAATATTTCTGCTGCATGTGCACAAAAGCCGGATCTGCACTGCATCATCATTATCTTTTTTTATCCACCATTTTGTTTTTACTGTCCACCCCACACGTGGTTGAATTTCTACTGTTCATCACTTTGCTATCAGTCTTCTCTCCAGCCCTGTCCTTTATCAGTGGACTTTAAACCTTCATATTATCAGTAATAAAATCCAGCCGTGGATCTCCCCATCCCTCTATCACATGTCACATGCCTGAAAAGAGCTGTTGCTGCTGTTCTGTCCCTCTTACATCATCAGGACAAGATAAGACTGACAGTTGTGGCACTGCTCCAGGAAGTCACTCACAGCCGTGGATGCCCAATTCTAAACTTAAAATTTTAGGATATGCTTCTAATAACTACTAGTGAATAAGCCTAGAGATGGCACAGACTGTCTGACAAAGTTGCATCACTTGCAAATGAAGATTAACAGGAAGACAGTGGCATTACCAGGAGTTAGAAATACATCCTTCTACAAGTCAAGTGTAAACTCCCTAGGAGATAGGGCGGCTACCAGTGAGAGAGAAAAAACTAATCCGACCAATAGTTTAGACCTGACTGGGGCCATTGTGTGCATCAATTCCACCTTTGTACTTAAAAACACAAAGCACCTGACTGACTGTGGTCAGAGTGGGGGACAAGGAGAAAAACAGAAGAAGCTTTAGAGATGAGGGACTTGGCATGAGGGCAAAAGGACAGCTGATCCCGTTCCCCTTTGATTTATCAGTTCCCTCTAAATCAGTCTGCTGCCATGTCTTCAGTTTAGTTGGCACCACTGGAGCCTTTTACTCCATAACTTTGGACCACGTTGACGACCCTGCTCTCTCTTTAAGTTAACTGATCAGGCTTAATCTCCTGAGTTCCTAAAAAACAGTGCATGACCCCTCCAAAGAAAACACTTATTTTGAATGGAGGAGGCAAAAAAGGCAGCAGTTTCAAGTTGCATCTCTTGAATAAAACCTTGCTCCCTCCTTTGCCCTAACTCATATGATAACACTGACTGACAACTGACAAGGCATCCCTCAGCACGAATCCTCATTTTAACAGCTCATTCAACGTCCCCCACGGGGGATAGTGGAATGTGTGTGTGTGTGCGTGTGTATCTCTCCCATAGCTTTACAGTTCAGGAAGAAATGCAGGACACGTCCCCAAATCCCCCAAAAGAGTTCTGTTCTATAACCACATGAAGGGCAGATGCTAAAGACTATTTGCCTTTACTTATGATCAATTTCTTCACCTTCAAGGCAATTTAAGGTATTAAAAGTGACAGATAGGTAATGTGTCAATAGTGTAGGAACTGAAATAATCCTTTTGTCAATACAGAAATACAACAGCTGTGACTCACCCTCCTCGTTGCAAAGGTAAGAGTAGAAGCCTTCTGACTTGAGCATGATGAGGAGCGAACCCCATCCCAGCAGCACAGCGGAGAAGAGCAGATTCTCAATGATTGCAGTCACTGCCATCCACCAGCGCCTGGCAAACGCTGTGGCCAGGGTCGGAGGCATGGTTGAAGGAAAGATATTACGGGCAGAGAGGGCGAAGAACCACAGAAAATAAATGTAGAAAGTAGAGTGAGCGACCACCAGAGAGGACAGAAAGGAGCAAGCTGCGAGCGCAGAGAGAGCCGCCTTGACGCTCAGAATGAAGGATCACTGATCACTTATCTGGGAAGAGAAAGGCACAAGAGGAAGGGGGAGGTTTTAAGGTTAGCCTATCACTGAAGTCACAGAAAGGTTCAGCTTTTATAAGATCACAAGATATGAACTTAACTATACACTTAACTTTGATCCTAACTGAAAAAAACTGTGTACTGTGTGAAATAGAGTGAAAATTAACCTTTAAATCTCACACATGCTCTGTTTTTGTCATTACTTCTGATTAATTAAGTCTCCTTTCTAATTAGACACAGGGGAGAGGTAATGGCAGTTGCTCTAAAGAACTAAACTTAATAATAGTAACAGCAGATGGCGAATTATTAACTATCCTGCTAGTGCAAAGATCCTTACATCACTCTGCTGCTGGGATTCAGTTCTTACATCTCACTATAGGCATTAATAACTAAAGAAGCATCCGTGGTGGCATCACAGAGTTTCTGCTGTTTGGTGAAAAAAGCAAACTCGTCCAAACTGGATAAAAAAAATGCAGCTCTCTCACTGCTCCCTCAGCCCATGGCCCCTCTGTCTCTCTCCCCTTCTCTCCTAAACAACCCCTAAATGTCCTCTTGGGCCCATCCAACCGCAACTTTCCTCTGCAATTACTGTGGAGCATCCAAAACACAAAGGAGCTGCCAGACAAACAATAAACAAATCAGCTGCACATAGCCAAACTCTCTCTCTCTCTCTCTCTCTCTCTCTCACACACACACACACACACATACACACACACACTCTGTTCAACCAGTAAGACAAAAATAGTTGCAGAGTCATTTGTAGATCTCATGGAGAAGAAATAAGCAAGTAAACACGTTTAAAATCAGGGAAAACTTGTTTCTGTAACTGAAAACAAATATTCCCATTGTTCATCCATTTCCCCACAATTCTGAGTAAATTACTGGTATATAATTTATCCAGGCAAATTACAAACTTCCTTACCTCCACAGGCTATAAGCTGCACCATCCAGCTTCACACTACGTTGCACTCTGGGCCAGTTAAGTGACCAGTTTTCTGTGAAATGCCAGGTTATATACGCAGGCGGCCCTCACATGGCGCCCCCTATTGACCATTGGCTTTTTGATGTCAGCACCTCGGCCAAGCAGCGCTCAAAAGCGTTGTTACCCCTAGCGCTTCGATATTTCCAAAAAGTCAGTTTGTAGAGACTATGTTTTTCTAAAATGTTTACACTTTAATTGTAAAAACTCCGTATTGACATAGGGCTACTATGATTTTATCAGAGTCATTGTGCAAGGGAAGTCCGACAGTGCTTTAACTGGGTGAGTGGAAAGGATTAATCAAGCCAAACAAAGTGTGGTTGAAAACATAATGGACCTCTGAAGATAAGGATGAGTCGCGGCTATCAAGAGTTGTCTGGATCAATAACAGGTATTGATATAGATCAGGAGGCAGACCGGAGGGATGACTGTTTCGGTTGTTGCGTAACTGTTGTTTACTGTTTACTGTGTTATGTTCAACGTTTGGCCTACCTGTGACGAGGTTGAAGTCTGGACGCACACACACACACACACACACACACACACACACACACTCTCGCACTGAGGGAAGCAGTTTGCTGAGTTAATCCAGCACAGTCTGGCAGCGACCATAGAGCAAGTAGCACCAATAAATGCTCGAATAAGGTCATTTGGTTACTGATGTGACACATTAGGCTATTATCTAAATGTGCTATAGTCGTTTCTCAACATCTCGCACCGATTTAGGCTAATCCTCAATGCTGCATTGACGTGATGCCAAATGTGCATTATTACTTAATGTAACAGCCCGCATCTTTGACCATGATTATTGTGATCATCTATAGGTCTTTAAGTAAGTTTAAAAGTCAGGTGTTAAATCATCAACAAACTGAAGGTCAAACATTGTTTTTCAGTTGGCCACTTGCAGTGCACTATTACTTAAAACAGTAATCAATATGCAAATCAATCACTAAGTGACCCACAGTGAACCTATTTAAATAAACACTGATATGGTAATTTGTGCTGTTACCATGATCAATATTCCAGATTAAAGGTTAAAGAAAACACACCCAAGTTAAAATTCTAATTTGCTTTTAATCTGGCGGCCAATAAATTCATTCATGTTGAAGGGGTATTTGATCTATCCCAGATGAACCAATCAGACTGTTTGAGTATCAGCCATTAACTGAGTAGGTGCGTTTAACTTCATGCAGCGTCCCCGGCGCTGCAAAACGGCACCATGTCATATGACATTAAAACCTCGCGGGAGCAAGGCGGCTGCAGGTACCGAGTCCGGCGGCCGCAGTTGCTGTTCTCCGACTGCACAAAGTTGGAACCACACCTGAGATCAGTCATTGATCTCAGCTCACAGTATAAATTAGCCACACAGGTAGAATGTGTCCGACTCGACGGCGCCGTTTTTATACCCCGACCCTGCAGCTCACTTTAGACTATGAAGTCGGCGAATGTCAGCCGCAGTCATCTCGAACACACCTAAAAATTGATCTCACACTGTGGGTGATGCCTCATTACATGACACAAATCAAACTTAATCGTCAGTAGTGGCTTTTCCCTACACCTTATGAAAAACATTTGTTGATCTGCTACCTTATATCATAAAGGACATCAGGAACTTACAAGACAGGATTCAGTTGTTTGAGATGTAATGGAATAACGACAGTATATCATTTGATAATATTCAACATTTAAATTTTGATAGTCCCTGTGGTGATATGAACATGTCACATTTGATATGAAGGTTTAACAAAGCTACAAAAATACTTTGTTTAGGGCTATACACAATAAAAAAGGAAACTTTGACCCTTTGTTTTCTTGGGAACTTACTGTTATCGCCACCTTGTGGTGCAAGGTGATGCAAGCACATGAAACCAAATAGTGAACATGGCCACTGATATCACAGCAAAGTTGAATAAATGTCTTTATTGCACATCCAACACAGCACAACATGCCAGAAAACAGCAACATTGAAACAACTCACCATTATAAAATGCTTCTTTTGTCTAAACTTTACGCTATACAGTCATTGATATATTTTGAAAAGCTTGATATTTACATAGATAACCTCCAACAGTGATTTTGGCTCTGGATTTTTAGGTGCAGTAGTGACCAGTATTGTAGTAACGCACAGACAGCCCAGTGTCACAGTCCATTCATCAGTCGAGTCTACTCACAGCCACAACACCAAGCGAGAGCAGCAGCGTCTTTAAGGAGCCTTCAGTTCTTGGTGCTATAGCAGAAAAAGGAAGTCAGAGACGGAGGGTGGTAGGGACATGATAAGTGCATGATATATATTTTACAACCATGACATCTTGTAGCATTCAGGATTTTGTTTTGTTTGTAAGTCCTTAAATGCACAAACTGTTTTTTTACTATATCTTGGAATTCACTTATTTACTGGCGCAGTGTTACATGATTACCGTAAATCTCCGGTCCTCACCTATACTGGCCTTGGAGTCAACCATTTAAAAATGTTTCACACATTTTTGTGAAAAAAATGGAATTTTGATTCATGCTCATCAACGTTAATACAGTCACAAATTTATCTGCTGCACTGCATCTTTCAAGTGTAACCCAAATGATGTTTCTATACTGTACCCTATAATAACTAAGCAAAGATAGATAATATTAAACAAAACATTTCAAATCCATTACATAACAGCACAGATGGAGCAAGTCCAATACCTGGCCCACTTTTGACCTGTGCTGAACTAGATGAGAAATGATGGCTGTGACCAGACCAAATGGAATTATTAACAGTCTTATTGAACCACGCGTGCATTGTAACGTGTTCCAATAATTTATGTAGTGTTTGATCAAAAAAAACAGATCTTACCATGTGAGTCGTCATCTGGACCTGAAACTGATAAAAAGTGAGATGTTAGACAAAGCCTCTTCAATAGAAGTTCATACCCATGTATGTGAATACTGAATATGTAAAGTCACATTCACACATATTTACAAACATGACTGCATACATACCTTTGATAGTGAAAGTGGTCTCCATGCCTGCACGGATGTGGTCAGTCAAGTGACAGTGAAGCAACCAAGTCCCCGGGTTTCCGGCCACCATCTCCACAGTCTGGAAAGTCCCCGGGAAGAGGTCAAAGACATCTGCACGGTGCACATGATCTGTCTGACACACACACACACACACACACACACACGCGGGGAAAAAAGAAGAGGAAATAAGCACCGAGTAAAGAGCTGAGAAACTTCCTGTGTAGACATGGAAAGTGGTTTAATGTCAAGGACGACCACACCTAAAATCAGAATTTGATTATTTAACATAATTCAAAACGGATCAGTTCTACACTGTGTGAATATGGAATGGGAAAGTTGGGCACCCCTGGTTTATTTGTATATAAATTTTTAAACGGATTTTGATATTTAATGTGTCTGATTTGTGTAGCTTTGTGTGTTACACTTGATAAACCTGCAGCAGATACACTTGGGCAATGCCGGTGCCTGATTAAATGCAATTAAGATGAGCTTAGACATCAACATAGTGGGTTTTTAGTTAGAGAAGGCTCAATGTTCAGTTTGTAACTCACTAGCAACTGGGACAATCCATGTATGATTCGTTAATATACATCTCACTGAAAAACAGTTCATGTTTGCTGTGTAAGTGAAAATGTCCAGCACGTTGGCCAAAACCATACAGCGGTTCAACAGGACAGGTTCTACTCAGAACAGGCCTCACCATGGTTGACCAAAGAAGTGGAGTACACATGCTCAGCATCATATCCAGAGGCTGTCTTTGGGGAATAGACTTATGAGTGCTGCCAGCATTGCCACAGAGGCTGAACGGGTGGGGGATCAGCCCGTCAGTGCTCAGACCATACGCCACACTCTGCATCAAATAGTCTGCATGGCTGTCGTCCCAGAAGGAAGCTCCTTCTAAAGATGATGCACAAGAAAGTCAGCAAACAGTTTGCTGAAGATAAGCAGGCTAAGGACATGGATTACTGGAACCATATCCTGTGGTCTGAGGAGCCCAAGATAAACTTATTTGGTTCAGATGGTGTCAAGCGTGTGTGGTGGCAACCGGGTGAGGAGTACAAAGACAAGTTTGTCTTGCCTACAGTCAAGCATGGTGGTGGGAGTGGCATGGCCTGGGGCTGCATTAGTGCTGCTGGCACTGGGGATCTACAGTTCATTGAGGGAACCATGAATGCCAACATGTACTGTGACATACTGAAGCATAGCATGATCTTCGGAGACTGGCCGCAGGGCAGTATTCCAGCATGGTAACGACCCCAAACACACCTCCAAGACGACCACTGCCTCGCTAAAGAAGCATGTCTCCAGACCTAGACCCTATCAAGCATCTGTGGGAAATCCTCAAACAGATGGTGGAGGAGTGCAAGGTCTCTAACCTCCACCAACTCCGTGATGTTGTCATGCAGGAGTGGAAGAGGACTCCAGTGGCAACCTGTGAAGCTCTGGTGAACTCCATGCCCAAGAGGGTTAAGGCAGTGCTGGAAAATAATGGTGGCCACACAAAATATTAACACTTTGGGCCCAATTTGGACATTTTCATTAGGGGTGTACTCACTTTTGTTGCCAGTGGTTTAGACATTAATGGCTGTGTGATGTGTTATTTTGAAGGTACAAGCTACATGTACACTCACTACTTTACATTGTAGCAAAGTGTCGTTTCTTTAGTGTTGTCACATGAAAAGATATAATCAAATATTTACACAAATGTGGGGAGTGTACTCACTTTTGTGAGATACTGTATGTTGATGTTCACGCTCATCTTAATTACATTTACTCAGGCACCGCTTCGCCCAAGTGTATCTGCTGCAGCTTTATCAAGTGTAACACACAAAGCTACACAAATTGGACACATTAAATATCAAAATCAATATTTTCAAAGCAAAAACCAATGTCTGTTTTTTTTATTTTCTGTTTATCTGTTTTTCCATTTTGGTTTTAAAACAGATTCAGTTTTGAAACACCCTGGACAGGTCGCCAATCCATCACAGGGCCACACTTAGACAAACAACCACTAATACCCAAGGAAAATTTAGGGTC